CTCATTTGGTGATGGAAACACATTCACAAACTCCACAAAAATTGAATGTCTGGGACGGCATTCTTGGTAATCACATTCTTGGACTATTCTTCATTGAAGGTTATCTCAATGGAAACACATACTTAAATCTATCACAAAACTGTGTAGATCCTATGATTACACAAATTTTGTAAAATGATGACAATTTAGTAGAAAATAAATAACGGTTGAGCCTCAAGATGACCAATTACCAAAAATTATAGCAGAACGACTAGGTGATAATCTGACTAATGTGACGTTTACCTCGGAAAAAGTTAAAAATCATTTATTGAACATCAAATCGAATTCATCTCCTGGTTTGGATGGAATGAGCCCCTTTTTTCTCAAAAAGTTTGCCGAAACTCTCTGCTCTCCGTTGTCAACAGTCATGTCAGTCTCTTTTGCAAAATCTCGCATCCCATAGTCTTGGAAGAAGGCATCTGTCACCGCTATTTTCAAAAAAGGCGATAAACCCAATCCAATTAACTACAGGCCCATTAGTCTTTTATGCTTTCGTCAAAGGTAAATCAACCACCAGCAATCTACTACAGTGCATGAACGATTGGACGACAGCTTACGATAATAAAATATCGACAGATATCGTTTATCTCTCAGATAGAACTTTCACGGTCAAAGTGGGTCACTCTTTTTCTTCGCACAAACAAGTCACAAGTGAAGTTCCCCAGGGATCTGTTCTTGTCCCGCTCCTATTCGTTGTTTATGCAAGTGATCTTGCTCTTCACATAAAGTCTAGCAAGTCATTTTATACCGATGATACTAAACTTTATGGAACTGCTTTAGTCGAACATCATTCCCTTCAAGAAGACTTAAACTCGATTAGTCAGTGGTGCGAGGATTGGCTTCTACCTCTTAACGTCGACAAATGCGTCGTACTTCATCAAGAAAAGAACAATACACTCCATACGTACACAATAAGCGGTCAATCGTTACGTACATGCAGACTTGGGAGTGATTATTAATACTGACTTAACTTGGTCCGAACATATAATATCTACATGCAAACGCGCAAACACACTGATTTACCTCATCCGCAAAACGTTCCTCCATCTATCATATTCAAGTTCCATAAAACTCTACGTTCGTCCAAGCATGGAGTATGCAGGTCCAGTGTGGTGTCCTGTTCTGGTGCGCGATAGGGACTTGTTGGAAAATGTACAGCGTCGAGCCACACGTATGACTTTTGNTTAAATAAAACGTTCAACATTTAGGGGGGTGATTGCTGACCGCAGGGGGGTGAAGTTTCGGGTATGATTTTCATATTAGAAATAAAAATTGACGTTTTCTTTGAAATTGTCGATTACATGTCTGTTTCTGACTTACAGAGGAGGTCAAGTTTTCGTTGAAATGCCCTGTATATTTCTGTCAATAGTTTCAATATTATTGAGTTCATGAATTATGCTGGTGAAAAGCAAAGCACAAGTGAATCCCTTCAAGAATTTTTTTTATGTTGGTGGGTTACCAAGAGGGTTATCAAAGAGGGTTACCAAAGTACTAACAGAAAAACCTTATATCAGAAGATCTTCAAGAAAAACTACTGTAAAAGCAAACATGAAAACACGTTACTTACTTCTTATGTTGAAACAGTTTTTCTCAAAATTGTTATGGGATAAAAATAAGCACTCATTCTAAATTTTTTTCTTCCTTTAGTTCTTCGCTTTATACGGGAAATTTATAAGAAAGACTACGAAATTATCTTTAATCACAAAATTTAATTTGGAGCAATTTGATGATTTGAAGAGTTATGGTTTTTTTGTGCTGAATGGGTATATACTTAATGTTTTGTTTTTCTTTAATCCTCACTCTTCTAACGACAACTCTCAAAATTAGAGTCATCTTCAAGTAAATGATTAATGAGATTATGTCTTTCAAAGTGTGATTCCACCGGATGAACTTGCTAACCAATGTACTACCAACTGACCTACTGATTAAAAGAAAATGTAGTGATTAGCAATAACGCCAACCAACATTACAGATTGACATCCGTCAATTTTTTCCCAAAAACAAAATTTGACATTTTAATGTTTTGTACGAATTATTATGTTACAGGATTTCTTTGAATACAATGACTCTCATAGTAGACAGCCCCACTGTATACACAAGCCAGGGTGTACCAATTTCAGTCACAGGAATTGCACAGGTAAAGTTAATCTGATTTCACGCACTTTATAACAAATATAAATATACAGGGTGTCCCTGGACTTCCTCTTTTCCTCTCGGGAATGTATAGATGGGGTCAAAATATCAGCAGTACTTCATATAACTTTTTTTCCTAAAATCCTTCGTTACCAAGTAACGGGCCCTCGAAGTTACAAAATGAAAAATGTTTTTCTTTGATAACTTTTCAAGTGAATATTCAAAATCATCCAAATTTTGGTAATTGACNAACTATCTGAAGTTTTGGATAATATGCCCCTTCAAATGTTGTGTGGTATCAGTGTGATGGTGTACCTATTCAT